CTTTATGCTACATCTATACAGAAGCAGGGCGGAGTGAACAATATTGACCAATACGAGGCTTAAAACCACAATTATACAATTTTTATTGGAAAAGTTAACGTTGCTGTCTGTCATTTTCAATTTCCGGAAATTAGATTTTGAAAGGACTATTCAACAATGCAAAACTGATTGACCACCTAACAAGTCATTTCAGTGAGTTAGCCTTGCAGTTCTTGTATATGGTGTTTCGTAAAATGCAACCTTAGATTAAGATAAATAATCAACTGAACAATTTTGTTGGGAAGAGCCTCGTATACTGACCTCAGTGAGGAGCTCGGATCGAATTACGAGTTCCAACTCTTCTACACGGTCTTTACTGTAATTACCGGTTTAATACAATTACTCATTAAAATATACTTTCTAATGTATTTTTCACCTAGATTCCTTTCAAATTTTCAAATGAGTGTTTCTTCCGTAAGACCGAAACAAAGCTGCTCGAAACGCCATGCGTACGCGAATTGATTCCACGGCCACATAATTGGCAGTTACTAAAACATGGAATGACCTAAAACCACCTAAAACTACCTAAAACCACCTGAAACTACCTAAAACCACCTACAACCACATTTGGTATACTATTTTTATCATTTTGAGGTATTTTGTGACAATTTTGTTGACAAATGTAAACACACACGCGAAATATTGTCTTGTTTCGCGGGTTACCATCAATAGCGAAAACTAATACCCCTGAAAATTAAGACTCTGTCTGCGACATGTGCCCGTCCGTCCAACAGAGGTCAACGGGACACCAAGCAGGTAATCGGAAATTTGATGAGGTTGCGTAATATAACATCAGGAGTGATGTGTCGTGGAAATCCAAACAACCCTAAGCATCTGAAATTGCTTGAAATCGGGCTGCAGAGCGAGTGTACAACAAAGAAAACAAAAACAATTTTATAATTGTTAATTATTAATAATTTATAATTAATGGAAGGCGGCCGCTGACCAAGTGGGTCGCAGGCTCAAGTATTTTCAGAAATTCTTGGTTGTAGATGGTTTTAGGTGGTTTTAGGTGGCTGTAGGTCATTCGATGTTTTAGTGTTTACGCCACATAATTAAATTTTCTGTCGTTACGTTGGTAAACAAAACCGTTATGGTGACCGAGGTATAGCTAGCCAGTGCATCAGTGGAAACTGTCTAGTTACGTTAGATTGATCTCGAGACTATTTACCTGTTCATTTACCTGTGAATTTCTGGGTCAAACAGAACCCTATATATTAATTTTTTTCAGAGAAATGGCTAACTGTAAACAACTTTATTTCTTAATGATTACCTAGCGTCCCGTTGAACCGGCAACAGCTGTCGTGGAAGGAAAACGGGCAATCTGCTTACACTAGCACAAAAAAATAGGTCGCCAGAAATGAGAATTAGCTGAAACTTAGGGGCAACGGAATTATGAGAAGTTTTTTTTGTGAATATGCGCGGTCGAAGGACCCGATTTTGGATTTGGGATCCGATTTGCGGGAAACTGATATGCAAAATTTTTTTTTTGATGGAGAACCTGCGCGATCGAAATTTTCCATCCACCACGGAGGGAAAACAATTTTTGTGGCGCCGATAAAAGGTTTTGTCTTTTAGTAAGATTTCTAGCTTAAAAGCTGTGGGTTAAGTAGAAAGAATATAAGTTGTAGTATTTGAATAAAGGTGATGTATGTATGGATTTTTTGACTGATTCATTTATTTATTTAATGGAAACCTTGCCGCTGTGTTTGAGTTACTCGAGTTGCAAGCTATATAGAGCTGATAATGCAGAATGTTCTGGATCGAAATGGCTCTGCTCTTTGCGGACAAAAACGGTCCATTAACAGTGGCTGAAATTAGGGTCAACTGTCCCGCTGCGGAACAAAATGGCTCCTGATATGGAGGCTGATTCTCACCAAGGGGGCTGAATTGATTTCCTGTTTAGGCCAAAATGGCTTTTGGTAGGGCTGAAATGGTTCTGTTTTTATTGGGATCGATTTAGACCCAGTTGACCAAATGGCCCAACAAGGGGTTGAATTAGCTTCAGGGACATGAAGCTAAATCGGCCCTTTGGGGCTGGAGTAGATCTTCTGAATTTACAGTGTTATCAAAAGGGCTTAGTTCCCGAAGCCACAGACTAACATAATCTCGAAAAAACTGCATGCACATTGTCATACTATAAGGTGCTCGGAAAAAAGAGCTTTTCCATATGAGTAGATATTTCGAGATTTTCTACCCATGCAATACTGAAGTCGTCTCCACTCGTGAAAAACTGTACACATTAAAAAAAAAAAAAAACAAGTTGGCTTATCTCGAAATACAACTTACTTTGACCCGACATACAATTGGTGACCTCTTATCTTTCAACGAATCCACCATTTCGATCGTAGCCTTCAGTGGTGAATAACGCACTCAAGCATAGTCACGGGGTTGAGGGACGCTATATCGCTAAATGTATACTTAAACTTGACTTTCGAGTCGATACAATGTATACATGCAATGTGTAAATCCGAAAAAGGCGCACAATTATCCTCAAGCACCATACGGCAAAGACGGAGGAGGAAATTGTCTTTGACATAAGGGGCTTGAAATTATTTTTAGGTCACGTCCGACATGTCAAAGCGACGCGTTATGAAGGACTTAAGAAAGCGTCAAATGTTTGTGCTTAATTATTGATTTTAAACACCGTAGCCTTTATCAGGGCAGTGTTTCATAACAATGCACACTACACTGACGGCTGCACTGTAACTCTTACAGCAGATCATTTCAGGAAAATAATGAGCGGAAAACAGCCGGAAACATTATGATATACGTTAATCGGAAAATGGTATGTGACCGCAGCCTGCTAATATTCCAACTTCATGATTCTTTGATCGGCCACAAAAAAGTGATAATGAGTTATGAGCAAGATGCGAGCAGATGAGTTGGGAGGAGGATTCTAGAACAACTGAATTTGCAAATGGCCTATGACCTAAAGAAGCACCTTTAGATTTTACTTTAGATTCTATTCACAATTGATTACAACAAGGCGGCAGACCCAGTGGATCGAGAAAATCTGACAACGAATTCCTCGAGAATTTCGAGTACTGGCAGAAATCATATAAATGACAACACTCGACGCGAAGCAGCTGTTCGAGACTTCGCCATATAAACTCATATTTTATCAAATCGGCAAGAACGCTAGGAACATGCGCGCAGAAAAACATGACACGCTCACAGCCGCGCGCGGACGTTCAACCACACGCGCCCGGTGAAGGTGTGAGTTGTTCGGGCTTTAGTACACCTGATAAACAGAATCCCTTCACCTTTACTAAAATAAAGTATTTGAGCACTGATGCGTCTCATTTGCAATTGAGAATAACGATACTACATGAACATTACGTTTTAGTCCCATTGACCTTTACTGTTAAGTGCTCGGGCTTCATCACTAGAATAGTCACACACAAAGGCATCTTTATATGGGTGTGTTTTTAGGACGTCGTATTTCCCGTCAGTGATTTAAGTGGGAATCCCTTCAATTGTCTGGTTTACGTTAGAGTATGGAAGAATCTTTCTTACCGTGAAGTAGGACAACTTTGAGGTCAGTGGCAACGTAAACTAAATCGTATTTTCTCTTTTGAGCTTAGGAGAAACGAGTAACAACAAGTAAATTTTCTCGTACTCTTGAGAGCTGCTTTTTCTTGTAATCCTCTAGATATGAGAAATCTTACGGCTCTTTTTCTCTCTTTTTAACTCCCAAAAAGAGCGCAATTTTAACCTACCTTTCTTAGCTATGCTCCTGTTACTGTTGTGCTCAGCGTGAAGTGACAAAAGTGATCCAAAATATTCTCGATTGCTCTTTTATCTTTCTGGCGTAAGACCAATCATTGCATCGTAACTTCTATAAAGATGTTCTGTTGTCCGTGGTGCGTAAGAACTATTGAATTGACCTCACAGTGGGCGATTTAAGTGTTTCATATTCAACAATTGGAAGCTTGGAAGCTCCTGAGAATTACCACGTGAATGAAATTGTGGCAAAGTTGACGACAGAGTATAAATAGTGGCGACCGCTGCATTTTATCTGTAGTTTAATGGCTATGCGAATCTTTTCAGCAATGCAATATGGCGATTGTTTAATGAGGTATGTATTTCTGTTCGCTGCACAAGTGCAATCATGTGGAGTTCTGGAAAAAAAAGACACCTCGACAACTCTCTGCTGTCTGCCGTCTTGACTAATGCGCCTTTGTCTTAGATGTCCGAGTGGTTTCAATTTTATTTCAACAAACACCTTAGCTGAAACTTGGTGAGAATTCAATCGGCTGAGAAGGGCCCTTAGGTTGGTGTATGGTAGGGTGGGGACTGGAATGCCTCACTCTACCTTACCCTCATCAGTAGTATCAAGATAAATTACTGTGAATGTATGAGGTTTCAATCTACCCTTACCATACAGATGTGTATAATAATTGCGTTACGTTACGTTACGTTCAAAATCCTCCATCCGCCAACAAAACACCGCAAAAAAAAATCTGTCAAAACAAATTCCGCTCAGAGTAAACTTGTGACATTTATTTAATAGAATTTAGCGCTTTGTCTCCAATAAGAAGTGAGCGTGCTGTACCTCAGAAAGTAATTCAAGCTGAAAATAGCCCGCCTACTTCCTTGTTTACGTCCGTGATTTGACCCGGGAATTGAAAAAACGGGTTCCAGAAGAAGTTCACTTATGTTACACCGCAAAAAACGTGTATCTATGCGTAAAGCACAATTTGTTCAATAAAACCTCCCCAAAATCATTTTGCAAAGACGTAGCAGGTGATTTTTAATCTTCTACACGTGATATTTTCCTGTTTTCAGTGACACATAGTAAAGATACATTTTGACACGGGAGTGACGTACAGAGATATTTGTGAGAGGAGACTGATCGAGACGAGTGAGCAGCTGCCAGTCACGTCGGTCTTACAATCATTGTGCACGGAAGATTTTTTCAATCTCAAGTTCGGATCCATCACATGGTCTTCCTCTCTCCTCTCCGCTCCGAGCATTTAATCAGGTCTTCTGAAACATTTATTCCGGCGCTTACTTAGCCAATCGTTTCTTTTATTTTGTGGTTGAATCTACAACAATTCACCAAAAAGCTGTGTAATATAAAATGCGATTCGCATATGATAGAATTTCAGCTGGTTTAGGCTAACCGGCAAAACCGGCACAAGCTCGTGACTTTTAACTAAAATTTGTATTGGCAATTATCAACTTGGTTAATTATGCAAGACCCCCCAAATGGGGAGAATCGATACGTTAACAGGTTATCGGCCTAAACGATCATAAGACTCACCAAATTAAAAAAGGAAAAAAGCAATCATTTTTTTTCAATCATGTATGCAAAGCAAAGTGTTAATCTTGATTTCAGCCAGCCAGAACTGATATTGATGTTCAAGAAGCAACGTCTGTTCCATTGTGGAAGAAGATATTTCAAAGGGTCTCAACTAAAACAGCTTTGGTAAGATCTGAAAAGCGATACATTTTGCTTTTCTTACTGTTATCAGGTTTCCCTCGAATCGCGGTTTTCATTTTTCTGCTGGGAAAACGCTGAGTTGTATTTGTTTAGAATAGCGGTATTTACACTAAAAGGCCCTTTAAATCATTACACATCGTGCAAGAGACATTTTTATGGAGTGTATCAACCACAGAACTCATTTTATCCTCACATTTCTGGAGTGTAAAGGAGAGGATTTGAATAATGGTACCTATGGTCAGTTTCAAGGCAGAACTGAAATAACTCTATCGATAAGTTCTTTCAGTGAAATTCTGTCCTTGTTTGAATGTAGTGATTTCTGGGTAAAGATTAGTTTTGCCTCGCATATTCATTTCCTTTTTTATCATGTTTCGTGACTGTTATGTTTAATGCGGACAAGTTTTTGTAACAATTATTTTTCTTCTACATCTAAATGGCCTCTGACCAACCAAAACAGACCAATCGTTGTTGATTTATTCTATTCAGAAAATTTTTCCGCATAATCTTTCACGCAAGTCGAAACTATTGACTAATTTTGCTTTTATTTTGTGGAAATGGACGAACAACGGGCAACATCTTTTAACGACCGCCAAAATCTAATCATTCAGTATGAAGCGCGCCACTGAGTGAGTGCTATTACTGAACCGAAATCTTCCGTGGTTCGTGTAATCATCCCTCAGTAAAAGTTTGGACTAACGAAGGAACAAGTTTCTGTTAAAGCTTACTCAATAATAAAGACGACAATTAGCAATAATGGGGCGCCAAACCAGCGTTGCGATCTTGAATTGGGATGACGTCACTTCTGTATTTTTCGTATTTAGTAAGATTGACTGTACAGTAAAATGATTCATCAGTAATCAAGGTCTCTTCACAAACTGCTCTGGCAATGAGATTCTGCAGGCTCAATTAAAGTTTAAAAAAAGACAGGCTTCCCTTCTCAGAAACTCATTTGGCAGGTGATATTACCGATTTGAAAATTGGGAAGGAATTATAAATTAGCTATAAGTTTTTTGTTCGTTTTTTGGTTATTTTTTTGTATGCTCTCTATGAGATACTAGGCAACAGTCACCAGGAAATCACTCGGCTAACGTTGCATTTTTCAATACAGGATCGGTTTTGAAATAACTTTATGAATTCTTTTTACAGACCGACGATTGCTGCATGGCGCCCGTCTTGATGGTGATATCCCTCTTGAGCAATTTAGGTAATTCTAACATGAAAAAATTAAACCATTCTTAGCCCCTCTATTGACGCAAATGAGTGGAAAGCAATCCAATAATACACCAGGCCGCATATATTTTCAATATCAACAGGAAGTAAATTTCTTCTTGCAAAAAAAATTGAGACAACTCAGAGACAAATGATAGCTAGGATCGAAAAGCTACTCGTGAAAATCAGTAAGTCGAATAATGAACACCAATTGCTAATAGATGTGGACACGATGGAATTAAATCCATTTAGATATGAATGAAAGCGGTTCTCTTCTTAAGCGGTTTTTCCGAGTAGAAAACTTGCATAACTTAGTGCTATTTATGATGACCCATCTTAGTATAAACCAGATATATTGCTAAAATACATCAACTTCATTCGGTAAACTTCTGTTGCAGGACACTGCACAACAGCGTGGTCTTACATTATAACAAAGTAGACTTGTTCTAGGTTTTTGTGACTCTTATTCGCGGCCAGAGTTAGCAAATCGACGAACGTTTTCCTGCAAGCGACGCTTAAAGAACCGAAAATACAATGCTTCGCAATTAGCGCGCCGAGATCGGCTAAAACTGTCGGTTTTGAAAACCACAGAACAAAGAACTTAACAGCTTTGTTTGCAGGGTAAAGAGCCTAATCCGAAAGATAAGTGAAAGCAAACTTTTAGTGTTTCTAATTACCAAATGACTGTAACGAGCGGTTCAAACTGAACAAATTTCAAACACCATTGAAAAAGTTCAAAAAGTTCATTGAATTGCGTAAAAATAGAGTTCGTAAACAACCTAATGAAAAGTTATATTGTTCTTTCACGGATGGCACTACATGGTACCACAGTTCTTTCTGGCAGAACAGCGAAGCTAGAGCTAAAGAGCTAAGAGCTAGAGCTAAATTTGTCCGAAACAAATTGCAGGACATGGGGTTTGTTGTTGAGGGGGACCACCAGACTGTCACAAGCTAAAATATCTTGTAACTGCAAATTCGACAACTTGAGAAAGGAGCCTGAGGGATTAGCTAGAACAAAAGGTATTGTCTCGATAACAGCGTAATTGCAATTAGGCTCGGCCGGATATCGGAGGCCTACGTGAAGTCAACATAAGGATAGTTTTTAGCACATTCAAGTTCCGCGAGCAACTTTTCCCGGATGTACATGTACAGTTTTATGGGTTCAAGGTTTAATTGTGAGTTGCTTAGTGACGGTCCGGAGGTCACGTTTAAATACGGTGGTATGAATACAGATTACGTTTTGGTGGCTGATATAAAAAATAATTGAACGTGTCGAAAACGTAAGATTAAAATACTTGTTGAAATACTACAAACGCTGAACCAGGAAAGCATCACTCAAAACTAAGAAAAAAACGTTATACAATAGCAATTATGGATTAACAACTCTACTCTAGGGATCTCATTTATAACAGTATTTTAATCTATGTGAATAGATACGCATTTCAGAAAAGAGAGCCTAGATCTGTAACATGATTTTACGAAAGCCTCTGTACCGTACTTAGGAGAGGAGCTTGTCTAGTTCTGCAACTCAGAATCAGTAAAAGTGTCTAATGAGTTTTTCTGGGTGCATATAAACAGGGAATCTGGATGCTTTGTCTTGGCGAGCGGATTATTCTCTCGGTAAGAGGCGATTGAAATAGTTTTTATTCATATGGTCCCAAGTCATTTTTCACTGAGCTATAACTGACTGACGGTGAGGAAGATTTGTAAAGGGTAACGTTTGCCGCGTACCTAGGGTAGGGTCAATGTTGTTGTTGTTGTTGTTTTTTTTTTTGTATTTCTCGTATTCTCTCTCATAAAAAATTCTCCCACTCTTGAGATATTCTTTCCGCCGGAACCAATTGATTCCAGTCTACTTTACCGACATGTGATTCATAACATGAAGGGGCACAAACTCTACTTAAACATTCGAGGTAAATTCATTTGCGAACACATTTTTCTCTTTTTAAATAATGCGGTTTGATTATTTTAATTCAAAGAATGTCCATCCAGTTGTCTGTGCTCGAAGACGTCACCAGACCTCGCCCTTGTGAAAACCGATTGCTCAAGGAATACTTTCTGGGTTGTTCCTATGGGTGTGTCAAAAGACAGTACTGATGTGTGAGTAGCAGAAAACCGCAATGTTTCTAAAGGAGTAGTTTAAATGATAAATGCACTTGATCTGAAATCAAAACCACGGTTGAAACAGAATAATTGACCGGAGACATTACACAACAGGCTTCAGGGTATGACTTAATTACTCGAAGAAATGAACACGATAATATTTGCTAAGGTTTCTACACTGAACCTTACATCAAAATATTCATTTTTCTCAAAAATCTCAAAAAATGCTTTATTTGATTGCATTTCAGGGATTTTTCAGACAACAAAATTGTGAGCATTACAAGGAAATTCATGGCAACCATTATAAAAGTAAAAATCCTGTAAGTATGTTCAAAACTTGTTGTCGTCGGAAAAATTGATGAAGGGGAAGTTAATGTTGAATGTGTAACCTCAGTCGGGAGAGTCATTGATCATTCGAAAAGAAAAAAGACATAAGGAGAAAGTTCAGCCGATGGTCTCTAAGTCTTCCCTGAATTTCCGTTGCCATTTAGATTTTCCAGAATATGAAACAACAAGTATATTCATCTCCTGTGGAGTCATGTCATTCGGCAGGTTTTTTTTTACAAATTCATAAGTGTGATAAAATGCGTAAAACAGAGAAGTGATGAATACATTAGTAACGAGTTATGACTGAAATCCTTGTACGTCTCCTCGATACAAATTAAGTTTGCAGCCTCTCATAGTCATTTACAACCTCAATGTGATGCTTTACTAATAGTACGTAAATTACTAGGAATTTTGCAAGAAACAACATTGATTACCTCCCTAAAGGATCGTTGAGCGATTTGATGGATTTGGAAGTCTTGTAAGTGGAACACCAACCAACACATTCCAGCATTGTAATATGCATGTGACTTTACAAGAAGCCGGAGTCATAGAAAAAGACCTTGTAATAAGATCTTTGTACAATTAAAAAACGACAAAGAGGCGAGAACTGGCCGAAACAGTAACAAAGAATGGTCGAGGATGAGGAAGATCCACACGAATTCCAAATGAAGAACTTCAAAAAAGCTGCTTATTTTTCTTGATAGAAAAAAAGTGACGCAATATTCCTGGGTTATATAACTTGAACAATCCATTGTTACCGTTGCCACTAACCGTTGAATAACTTCTGTCCATATTTTCCTTATAAGTTGCTTGTTTTGTTTTGTATGTATCCCTCCTACCTGTCTTTCTCTCATTTTAAATTTCTGATGTTAGGGATTTATCAGGAAACCACATCAGTTACATCATGGAAGGAGTTTTTAATGGACTTCGTAACCTCTCAACACTGTGAGAAGAATTGATAATTCCCTTTTTATTCAATAAAAGCATTTTTAACGCAACTTAATTTGGTATTGTTAGCTTCACATGACAGGCAGTGACTGAGGGAATATTGTTTCGTTAGTATATTTAACCAGTTAGTCATTGCCCTTCGCGAAAGGGGTCAATTCTGAAATTGCTAAGATGAGTCTCCAGTCAAGTTATTTCTATACGTGGTGGACTCATTCCATATTTAGAGGCCTTACAGTGGAAATTGATTTGAGCTTTAAATCCCAGGTACCTCGGTGAGAACAGAATTTCCAGCATCGAAAGTGGTAGTTTCCAAGGAATGCCAGGACTGAGACACCTGTAAGAAGAGCAGCTGCATCAATGGATTCGATGTATAACGGTGTAGCCTTTTGTAGTTACAAACAAGGGAAAAGATAACTTTAAATATTAGACCAGTTCATAAAACCAGGTACTGAGAAATACCAGTAACATGTCTGAATGGTGTTGCTGGGCAACGCTCCAAGCTTGTCATTGATGCTTTTTTCAAGCCTACAAACCTGCAGGCTAACTGCTAAATAACTCCGCTCAAAGACTGCCTTTCCTAAATCCATTATAAATCAACATCAGTCAGTAAAAATCTTGTCGTATCGAGCGGGTAGTAATCATGATGACATATCACACCAAGGACAAGGGTATTAAACCAAAAAAGTGAATTTTGTGGCATCCGAAACTTTTGTCTTTTTCTTTTTTTTAAGGTGGTTACCCATCAACAGAATCTGGGACCTACCTCACAACATACTTCACGGCCTTGTCAACTTGAGAGTGCTGTCTGTATCACCTAATTCGATCTCTTGCATTCCTTAATTAACAGTTTCACATGTTATTTATCCACATCCTTACTGCATTTGTTTTCTTTTATTGTGTTTAGCGGTTTAAACATGAACAGGCTGACAAAAATACATGCTCACCTACTAAAAGATGCACAGAATCTGGAATTTATGTAAGTGGATCTTAACTCAAAGCTTTATGCCGCTGCGACTCCGTGTATTGCAGAAACAACTTCATTTTATTTCTACCTTGTATTTGCCTCAGAGATGACTTTTTAAAACACATAACCAAACCACAACAAGACTGACTTGTCCTGGTCAATATGTATATTATAATGTTTCATTGGTTATTTAACACCATGTGATCATTGTATTTCCAAAATGCAAGGTTTCTACAACATAACGAGATAACAGATATACCTGACAACCTTTTCCAAAATGTTTTCAGCCTCAAATATGTGTAAGTAAAATCGTTTTATTTTATTCAAAGCTAATCATTGACAAATGTCCTTTGAAGGACCCACTCTTCATGATATCTAACAGATTAATTATAATCACACACCTCCTGATGATCTATTTCCTGATATGCCATCATAGATTTCTCAACAATAATAACCTGACTCTGATTGGTCCAGGCACCTTCAGGGGAGCAGTAAATCTGGAAATATTGTAAGTGTAACTACAACAACAGTAAATATGTCGGCATAAGGCATAACAAAACGAAATTTCAAGATTTCAATAACAAAATGACATCTGAGAAATCTTCTATTTCCTTTTCTTCTCTCTATCTAGGGCCCTTTCTAACAACCATAAGCTAGCAGATTTAGAGTCTAACTCTTTCAACTACGCTGATTATGGTAACCTCTCCCTTCTGTAAGTATTAATCAGGTTGGATTTTCATTAGTTTGCCAGTCAGTCAGCCGTTTGCCATCTGGTCACTCAGTTAGCTGATCAGTCATCAGCCAGTCACTCAGTTAGCTGATCAGTCATCAGCCAGTCACTCAGTTAGCTGATCAGTCATCAGCCAGCTGTAAGTCAGTCAGTAAGTCAATAGATCAGCCAGTAGACCATTCAGTTATTTGGTCCGCCAGGCAATCAATCAGTTAGTTATTTATCCAACTGGCAAGTTTTTGAGCCAGGCAGTGAGTAAGCCAGTCATTTATTTTTGAATTATCTAAACCTT